ACGTTATTTCTCTTTAAAAAATGGCGGCGGAGTCGGGGGGCATATGGAAAAGAGTTTGTCCTTGCAGATGTTTCTACAACTGTGTTTCTGGCTTTTGGTCACATTTTTCCCTCTTTTAAAAGTTGATCCAAATATCTGTTAGACTCAACCTCCTAAACTTTCCAGAATGAATTGTTTTCAGCTCATATAAAAGGCTTTCACCTTCAACCTCTTTAGCTTTGGCCCCATTATGTTTATGACTATTTTTAAATAACAAAATTTTTGGTTGCTGTTGAAAGACATCGAGGAGATCATTTATTAGAGGAAAAACTTAACTGTGTGCCTTTAATCTGAGTTCAGAAAACCTGGCTCTGCATTCTGAGGCAGTGTAGTTCTCTGGTCAATTGGTAACTGGAAACATCCACAGCTCGAATAGCAGATATGAGTGCACATCAGAGGTTTATGTGCAAGGACAGGAGGCTGCGGAGGGAATCTGCAGCCTATCAACACTGAATAACAGAAAGGGCTTCCTATTCTACTTCCTCCTGTGGGATCTCTTAGGGTCACCGAGATATTTACTCTAGAAGGAGAAATGATGCATCAGTACTTAGGGAATAAATATCACATGTGGACTTCCATCAGGAAATGCAAGTAATACAAAGCTGATGGCCTCAACTATTTGTCTCCAGTGTGACGAGTGCCAAGCCCTCTCCGCCCTTCTGGCTCCCTTATATTTTTTCCAGCCCTGTGCACCATCAGTGCCATCAGGCAGGGCTCCCAACATGGAGCGCTCTTGGAAGGCTTGGCAGCCCCTGTGCCCCAGGATGCATCCATTTCCCCTTCGTGCGCACTTCCACATCTTCAATGAGAAAAGGGAGCCAGGAAGCAACGTGAGAGCTAAATACAAGATCTGGTCACAGCACAAGCGAGAGCATTCAAAGGCCTGGATGCCTGTTCTGTTGGCAATAAATCTGCTCTGGAAAAGTCTTTGAGCCCCTTTTCAGTGGAAATTAAAATTAAAATAAATCAGAGGCAGCCTTAAAAGAAAAGGCATAAAACTATGTATTTACTTCTAAGTGTATTGATATAGACATAGACTAAATAGATTTGTTATGCCTTTTATGCATCCATATTAAACACACACATGAATAATCTCTATACAGATGGCCAAGCACTAACAGAGGGGCTTTATTTGGGGCTTCTGTAATTATGGTAACTAGATATTCAAGCAAAAAGCAAGAGGATGGTGTAAAGGCACAGAAATGAACATAGCAAAAAGGACTGCGGTAAATTCTACCTCTTGACATCTTTACTGAAAAAGGGCTTGTGGTCTATTGGATGCCAACAACAAGAGGCTTGAAATATCAAGCTTAAAAGTATCAAGCAATAATGAAAGATAAATTCTAGGTTAACACCAAGATAAGAGCCACCATCTGGCACTTCTGCCCACTTCAGAGCTGGACAAAGACACATATTTTGAGGCCATACCTTCAAAGGCAGAGAGGCAGAAACTGAAGATGCTCACAGGCAAAAGGGAAAGCCAAAATGAACCCTCCCAACTTAAACAACAACAATTGTTGAAAATAGTGTGGGAAAACCTACACATCCTAAGACATAACCTGGACAAAACGACCTCTGTCTATGGCCTTTACTTATCTGGAATAATTGGTAAAAGGCGGGTGGACTTTGATCCTGTCAGAAACTTAGAAAAGCTCCAAGATCTCTTTAACATTCATATATGAGCTGTCCTCCAAAGATTAACTATTTTCCAACCACCAAACTAAAGTGGATGAAGTTAAAAATTCTCTGTGGCCATTCATTCGGTCAATTCATATTTACTGAGTGCCAACTTTGGGCTTGGCACTGGGTAGGTAATGATGACCAAGACTAATGTGAACCCCGTCGGCGTGGCGCTCACAGTTGGGGCTACATGTTCTAGAGCGCACCGTGAGCACTTGGCACCGTGAATTGACAGAGCAGAGGAACAACCCCATGAGGCTTCCAGTTCAATAGCCCAGTCTCCAAAGAACACACCCCAGCTCACGGGCTGTATTCTAACACCCGGGTTTAACTCATGAGTTTGGACTTGAGAGATCACCTTCCCATGGAAGCAATGCCAAAAATTATGTTTGGATTCTCAGGTCAGTCCACAAAGCTTGAGGTGCCCTGCATCCAGCTGCAACATGATTTTAAGAGGTTTCTAGTTTGTATTACCCTGGGCCCTTCAAATCAACAGTACTATATTGTAGTTTATAATCATGACGCTGCCACCACGAATCGATGCTGCAGACTGAAGCATGCAATGCTGGGGATGGATAAAAAGGTGTAAATGCCTATGGGTGCGCTGGCAGCCCTTCTTCAGCCTCAACCTGTCTCCCCAACAAGGGAATACAAATGGGGGCAGAATCTTCCAGAAGATGCTTATGAGGGCAAGGATTACATTGGGAGTATCTTCTGCACATCAGCCACCGGCCTCTCACACGGTGTCTGCAGTTCCGGCCAAGGCTACGTACATTTCATACCGTTCCTACTCAGAAATCTCAACTGACACATTTCCTAGTTGTTTCTGGAAGTATAATAGTGTTTTTACATATTCTTACTTTTGTAAGACGTATGTTTTTCAGCAGTAATCTCAGCTCTAATAGTATTTAAAATGCATTAACATGCATTAATTTTTAAACATCACTTTTTATGCAGTTTCAATTGCCCTCATTGCATGAGCCTTATCTTATCCTCTAGATGCCCCAAAATTATCAACTCATCATCTGACTAGCAAAACAAGAACCTGGGCTTAGGCCCATTTTGTTCAAACCATGGCAGTGATAGACGTGTAGCTGAAAATAGAAAAATGAACTATTCTAAACAAGTATGTGAGTCTCCAAGACAAATTTTTAAAACAATTTTATTTACGTTTAGGAATAAGGGAGCGAAACATACGCTATAGTAGTGACTGCCTGAAGGAAGTCATTTACTGGTTCTGTGACAAGGTTAAGCAAAATCTTTCTCACAATTCATTAAGGATACCCTTAGGTTATACTCTGAAAATGTAGTGCCTTAGCTGTAGCCACCCCAAATTATCCAAGTAAAATACTGCTTCAGTCTGAGTGCCAGAGCCTCTATACGAAATACAATCTTCTCTGCAACAAAATGTCTACCTTTTATTCTCCTCCATCACTGCGCTGTCGAGAATGTGCTCACTTTTACACATCATTCTGTCAGATGTTTTCCTAACACAAAGCTGGGGTGGACAGGGGCTCCAAATGTTGCTCCAAGAGTTCCCAAAGCTTTTGCTGAATTCTGAAAAGGACCTGGACATATCCTCTCACTGAAAAGCCCATGAGATGAAAAATCTCAAACTAAACCCTCAAGGCGGGAAAGAGACAGGGCTGGAAGCTGGCTTTCTCCAGTAAAATCTGTGCTTGGGGACATCCACTCCAAGTGCCTCTAAGGAAAGAAGTGCCAGATCAGAACAAGGAAAGCAAAAAGCCGTGGTGGTAGCTGACACACAGAGGGTGGCAGCCTGGCCTGGACATGGGTGCCAGCTGAATATGGGGACCCAGGAAGGTCTCTGAAACAGTGGGTAAGTTTGGTTTGCAATGCCTCTCCCACATCTTGTCACACTCAGAAAGAGACCTGGTAGCCCACGTTTACCCCATAGAACAGAGATTGCCGAAGAATGTGGAGGCAACAGCAGCATGAACATCCCTTGGGAACCGTTAGAAATGTCAATCTTCAGGCCCACCACAGACCTATTAAATCAGAAACTCTCGGGGTGGCCCAGAAATCTGTGTTTGCACAAGCCCTTCAGTACTTTCTGATGCAAAGTCGAGTTTGAGAACCACCACCGGGAGATTAATAAAATCACTGTAGTCAGACCCTCTCCCTTGCCTTATTTATCACTGGAGAATGACAGATCTCTCCTCCTCCAAAAGAAATGTCAGGGGTCGGCAGGCCAAGGGGGAGTCAAGAGGAGGTTTTGGGGCTTTCTTAGGCCCAATTTACCACTACTCCTGTCTGTTCATTCTGGGTTTAGGAATCTCAGTCACAGGCACCAACAAAGGGAGAGGCGAAAACGTCAGAAATAGATCCCATCCACCCCGGAGCCCAGAGTATGCTGAGCAACTGACCGCTACTTAAGCATTCAAGCAAGAACACTGACAGTACCTGCAATGTACCACACAGAGCAAGAAAACCCAGCAGCCTTTATCTTCAATGCAATTAAGACACCACTAAACCGTCTTCACAGCTTCCTCAAGCTAGTGGCTACTTCCCAGAGACCATACCAAATTCAACAATAAATATTAGTGAATACATAAGTTGAAACTCAGAGCAAATGCTTTTAAATCACTACAACTCTTGGCTATTTATATAACAGGAACATTTAAACAAGTTTTCCCCCTAAAATGAATTCTCAATCATCTAAAAGAGACCCATGATCTCTTCTTGGGTAACGCAGTGCCTAATTTTTAATCGAACACTGGGAACTTTTGCATTAAAAAATCCCCACTCATTCGCAAAGCTGTGATGTACCTCCAATGGCTCTTCTTATTCTGCCTCCCAACACTGTTCGAATTTCAAAAGATGAGAATCTGAAGAAGCAGCAGCAACACCAAAAGCATGCCACAGACGACCTGGAAGTCAAGTGTACAGCAGAAAGGACCTTTCTGCACAAAATACATGTGTCCATAACCAGCCTACCACCACTGGGCCTCGCCTGCCTTTCTGAAGCAAAAGGAAAACTCAGGCAGTGTTGCCTGTATCATTATTCATCACTTGATACTCAAGAAACCAGTTCTGTGTCTTCTGGGACAAGGATTCACATTGGAAAGTGGGCAGTGCTGAGTAATCAACATTATTTTGCTCTTTCTTGATTTGTAGTATCATATTCTTGTTGCTATTTTTTCAGCCTTAAAACCCAGTCATCGTAAATCTAGCTGCTTCCTTCTTTACTGGTAATTAGCATTAGTCATAAGCCAAAAATTATTCCACAGAAGAAGTAAAATAAACACAGCCCTTCTTACCTTTCATGCCAAACTTGGAGTGTCTTGCCAACTTCAACAGAAACAGCATTACCAGCAGACAAAATCCCACTACAGATGCAATGACCACCACAGCATAGACCTGGAGAAAGGACCAGAGGGCAGTTATGGCCTTGCTGACCAGTTCCCTACACCCAGGTGATAATGATGATGATGGTGACAGTTAATATTTATCGGATGCTTGCTACTCGCTCTTCTAAGAGCTTTATGTGTATCAATTCACTTAACCCTCAACAACCCTATAATGAAGTATGTAGGTCCTGTTATTACCCCTGCTTTACAAATGAGAAAATCTAAGTTAAAGCTTATAAAAATGGAGGTCCAATTGATAATAGATAGAGATATAGATATTACATATATCTATTTCTCTCTCCTCTATCGACCTACCTACTTACCTACCCATCTGGAGAGAGAAGAGAAAAGAAGCGTATATGAAACAGGAATGACAAAATACTGATAATTTTTCAAGCTGGTGAAAGATACAGTGGGGTTCATTTTGCTGTTCTCTCTACCGTTGTGCATGTTTGAAAAGTGTCCATAATAAAAGATTTTTTAAGCTGGTTGTTGTTGCTCTTAGACGTTGGGGTGCCCTGCAGCAGTGAGCAGGCCTGGAAGGGAGCAGGAGGGCACTGGTGGGTGAGTTCAGCTTGTGAGAGCTCATTGGGCTGTAGACTTATGATACGTGCACTTTTATATACGTACGAGAGAGGTGAATACAAAGTTTTTTTAAATTTAAAAATGCAATTACAAGATGTGGATTCTACAAGCAGAGGAGTAGATGCAGACCTGTGTGAATCCTGTCGCACCCTGAGCTGCAGATGACAGAGGCACAAGTGCATAACGCTAAGTACATATTAACACTTTAGAAATAAAGATGGAAGCGGACCTGTGAACCGCCTTCCATTCCTGCTGCTCACCCCAAGTGGTCCTGCTTCCAAGAAAAGTTTGATTCTCTAAACCAGGAGTTGGCAACCTTGCTGTAAAGGGTCAGATAGGAAATATTTTAGGCTTTGGGGGCCATACAGCCTCTGGTGCAACTACTCAGCTCTGCTGGTCGAGCATGAAAGCAGGCAGACAGCATGTGAGCAAATGTGCACAGCTGTGCTCCAGTACAACCTCATTTGCAAAAACAGATGGACAGCAGATTCAGACAGTGTGCCGACTCCTGCTCTAAACTGTCTTAGATGTCCACGCTGACTTAGATGCTCAAGCTTCTCTGTTTGTTTTAATCTGCATAACAATCCTTAAGACAGATATCATTATCCCCATCTACAGTAATCATTGGTGCTGTTTCCCAAACATTTCTGTTTTTCTCTGTTTCTCTTCGTAGGACTCACTTCCCGGCTTCTTTATGATGAGATGGGTTCATGTGACTAGTTCTGGCCAATGAGTTGAGACTTGCATCACTGCCAGGCAGAGGACCTCATTGCTACTGTGAGATCTTAGATTTAGGCAGTGGTTCTCAACCAGGGATAATGATGCACCCAGGGGATGTTTGGCAATTTGTGGTTGTCACAATGAGGGAGAAGGTGCTACTGGCATCGAACGGGTCAAGGCCAGGGATGCTGCTAAACATCCTCCAGTGCCTAGAACAGCGTCTCACAATGAGGAATTATTCATCCCCAAATGTCATAGGGCCAAGGTGAACAAACCCTGCTCTCGGGCTGTCTTTGTCTCTGCCATAATAAATACTAAGTTTCTAAAAAGTGGCTGCCTTGTCAGCCTGGTCTTGGAATGAGGATGAGGCTGACAGAGCTCCCAGACAATACATGTAATCAAGCAAGAAATAAAGCCTTGTTGTTTTAACCCACTAAAACTTGGGGATTTTTGTTACTGCAGCATAGCTTATCCTGATCGATACCCTCGTCTCACAGTGAGAGGCAGTAAAGAGTGGCGATTAAGAACATGGGTTCTTCCTGGTTTTGAAATTTAGATTTACTACTTATTAGCTGCATGACTTCAGAATTACTTAAGCTCTCAGCATCTCATAATCCTCCTGGGTAAAATAGGGAATGTAATAATTCTACCTTTCAGGTTGTTGTAAATCCTCAAAGAGTTAATGCAGATAATAGGCTTAGAACAGCAGCTACTACAATATATAATAAATCAATGTTGGCTGTGATGATGATTATGATGATGAAAAACTGAGATTTAGAAAAAAATAAAGAAGCAGTCCAAGGTCACACCTCTCAAGCTTGGGATTCGAACCAAAGTCTGCCCAAGTATAAAGCTGTGATCTGTCCATTACATGGTCTCTCCAAAGCACGTGGCTAAGAATGAAGGCAGGATAATAAAAACACACGGCTAATCCTCCTGCAGCACCTTCTCTGGTGTCAGACGAGGACAGCATTAAATACGTCACAAAGCACAGAAAAGAGTACACGCCAAGACCTGGCCAGGGCTGAGCAAAGGTGTGCCAATTCTCTGCTCTGAACGTCACTGGTGAGTGCCCTCCCAGAGGAGGCTTCCGGCGACGTTTGAGGACAGACGAACTCTGACTCCACGGCCCATCTATAGACAGAGCGGTGGCGATTCCTAAAAGGCCAATATGGGTCAACTTGCTCTGACCAAAACTATTTCTCTCTAAATTACCTAATGATTTGGGGTGTTTTGTTAAATCTTTATTTCTAACTAACATTTTCATGGGAAAGAGATCGTGGTATTTTAGCTCTAAGTTTCTCTTCCTTATAATTAAACTCTATACTTCTACAGATAGAAGGGGGATACCTAAACGAACAAGTTCCAACTCTATGGTATAGATGAGGAAACTGGGATGGAGAGAGGTTAGGGGACTTCCCTGAGGCCCAGACCTCTGTGGTACCGACGTATAGTCTTGTACCACTTTGGAAAGCACAAGCCTGGCATCCAGGAGACCCGGGTCCCTGAGTTCACGGGATACCTTGCCTTTACCAGCTGTGAGAGCAACCGATGCTTCACTTCTCCAAGCCTCCGTTTCCTCATTTGCACATGGGGATAATAACTGCTGCCCAGCCTTCTTGAGATCCTTATAGGATGTTTAAGTCAACCTGGAAATGGGCAGGGGTTCTAGTGCTGAAGAGCAGCTAATAATCCACTGAAAAATACTGAAACCTATTGAAGCAGTTCTCAATACATGGAACCCTTTAATAAAGACTCCTGTGATGATAAGAAGAATCACTTCCTCAAAAGGAGACTGTGTGATAAACACAGAGCTTTGCGTGTTATACGTGTGTTCAGACGGCTGTGGTCTCTACCTGGGAGACAGGCAGAGGTGAGTTTACGTTTGTTTGGTCGGTCGGTTGGTTGTTTGATTGTTTTTTATCTGAGGATATCTCTTAGCACAGAAAAACGAGGTGCCCTCCTCCAAAAATCCAGCAAGATTCGTGAGGAGCCCTTGCTGGAACACCAAGGTGTTTGAGTCTGTCTTCAAAGGCTCTGACAACACCTTTACCCTTCGTATCAGCTCCCTGCCTCTGACACTTTTCTAGTCTAATGGTCCTGGGATCAGGGACTGTTTATGTATCAAATATCAGATCCACTCACAAGTTTTAAATTTTCTTTAAACTTCTACAAAACATTGCCTTGCACCTCTCATGCAGATTTCCCAGAAGGCCTCAGGTGGAGCCACAATGTACAAACTTTCAACAAAGATTATTTTCAATGATCTTGCCTCCCAGCGACCCAATCAATTCAAACATCATTGAGATACACCAACTTGGGGCTTGCATTTAGCATTTGGGTGCAAAAGAAAAAACTGAAGTTGGCATATATTTTTAGTAACTGGGATACATACACATCTGTGGGCTTAACAGATGCCGCTCGTATTCCTTCTGTATACGAACAACTTTCTCCCACCAGGAATCATTAAGTGGTTGGGTATGAGAGTAACAATGGAAATGAGCGTGCAAGGCAGGGAGGGGAAAATATGCTGCAGGTGACTTAGCATGGCCTTTGTCCTTGCCACTTCAATGCAATGCACACAGCCCGCTGTGGGAGCGCATGTGTGTGTGTGCGTGTGTGTGTCTCCACAGACTGAATGTGCACATTTTGAGTTGCAGCTGAGCTGCGTCTGTTTATGAGGCTCACCTTCCCACCCCTGGCCCTGGTTTAAACACAAACACATCTCTTTGTTACTGCACCAGACCCCTCACTCATCACCCCACTTCCAATCTCTCTGTTCTGCATGCAGCCATTCTACCGTGTTCATCGTTAGTCTAACCCATCTACAGTTCTTACTGAGGACCCCGGGGGCCAGGCACTAGTCTAGGGACTAGGGGTACAGCTGGAAAAACACTGACTCGGTTGCCTATACTAAGAATCTTATGAAAGAATCCAGGAAAGGGGAAAAGACATCAAATAAGTACACAAATAAGCAAAGCAATTACAGACGATAATAACTGCTCAGAAGAAAATGAAGCAGGTGATGGCTGCCTGCTGACTATCCTAGCTAAAGCCATGTGATGACTGACAGGAAGTGCATGCCTTCTAGAGGGAGCAGCATTATAAAGGCTGTGAGACAAGAGTAAGGCCAGAACATGCAAGAGGGCATTAAAAAAAGACAGGTGATAAGCAATGAGAGATGTGGGAGATGAAGTCAGAGAGACAGAGGAGGGCAAGGTGTGTGGGGCCTTGTGAGCCGCCACGAGGAGTTGGGCTTTTATAATAAAAGTTTTATTACAATTGCATTGGGAAGACTCTGAGGAGGATAATAAGAGTCATCCAGTTTGTGCTCTAAAAAGGTCACTCGGCCTGCTGTGTGGAGAAAGGCAGGAAGATCACAAGAGTGGGGGGCGGGGCACGTAGGAGGCTGCAGAGTCTCCGGGAACAAGCAATTGTGGCAAACTTTCCCTGTAAAGGGCCACATAGTAAGTGTTTCCAGCTCTGCAGGCCATACAGTCTTTGCAGCAACTACTCCACTTGCCATTGTAGCACCAAAGTAGCCACAGATGATATGCAAACAGACATGACTGCGTTCCAATCAAACTTTATTTATGGACGCTGACATTTGAATTTCATAAAATGTTCACGTGTCACAAAAATCACTCTTCTTTTGAGTTTTTTCAAACCACTTAAAAATGTAAAAACTATTCTTAGCCTGCAGACCACATACACCCAGGCGGCAGCAGCATGGGGTGGCCTGCAAGTGGCGCTGGGGCGGGGACACAGGCAGTGGGTGGGTTAGGAGTGGAGGAGGAGGCGGGGCTCACAGCACGTGGGATGGAGAGGGGAGAAGGTGCTGAGGCTGCCCAGGCTCTGCTGGGAGCCCGCGGCCCGCAGAGCAGCCCCAGCCATCCTGGCATGGCCTCCGTTGTGCAGTGAATCCAAGCTCCTGCCCTGTGTTCCCAGGCCTCGCGACCTGGAACGGCCGTCTGCACCAACCTTGCCTCAGCCTGCCGCCCTTCTTCCTGCTAACCTTCCCGTCAAGACTGTTTTCCAGTCTGCAAGCTCTTGTCCACCCACCCAAAATGCCCTTCCTTCCGTGTCCTACACAGGCCGCGCAAAATGCTGCCTGTCCCTCCAAGACGTCTGCGGCTCTCGCAGCAGGAAGGAGCGAGCACCTGGCTCTGTTTCCACCTTTCCCATCACATTCCTCAGCCTCTCTTTGTGTTTTAGGTGCTAGTGTTCATTGACATCTCACGTCTCTGAACGAAGTATGAGCTCCTAAAGGAAGACTTGGTATTTAGCTCATAATTTTATATCCTCCCACTGCCAGTCCCTTCCAGAACCTACTAGATTCCTTACATTTGGTGGGCACTGAAAGTTTCATTAAAATATTTAAGGAGGGGGCCAGCCCCTTGGCCTAGTGGTTAAGTTCAGTACACTGTGCTTCATAGGCCTGGGTTCGTGGGTTTGCAGGTTTGGATCCTGGCCACAGACCTACACCACTCATTAGCCATGCTGTGGTGGTGACCCACATGTTAAAACTAGAGGAAGACTGGCACAGACGTTAGCTCAGGGCTAATCTTCCTCAACAAAAAAAAAATTTAAGGAGACAGCTGTGAAGGTGTGGAAGACAGGAGTAATTATTCATGTCCCTGAAGGAAAAAGCTGATTTCTTGCTCATCTAGATAACCTTTCGAAGGACAGGTACTTAAAGTAGGAACCACCAGCAATTAAAGCGGCACACAAGAGGAGAAGCAATGAAGTCAGAGGCTACAGTGGACCTTTATCACTTCTCTTAAACCTTTCGATCAATTCCTCCAAACTTCAACGTCCTATTTACACCTGAACGATAAACATGTTTGGTTGAAACACATGCACTGAAGCAGCTCTCCTCCTCCAACATTGAAGCCTCCAGAGTACTCAGAGCCAATCTAGGAAACAGCTCTTTACCCCACTCACCGAGAGGTGTTCCCGACCGGTATTGTCAGCAACGTCTGTGGAAGGGATGTTGTTACTTCTGTTCGTGGTGTCCCCAATGTCATTTGCTGCAGTCCCATAATCTTAAATTGGAGAAAAGGGAAAGAGAAGGAAGCATGAAGTTGTCATTAGGCTGCCAACAAACACGAGGCCACACTTTGACCCAGAATGAAGCAAGACAAATGGCAAAGATTCCAAACCACTGACAGCCTGGCTGGGGAGGAGCAGGACCTGGCTGTTGAGTTAAATCCATTGTAGCATAGAGACGGCGTGATGCCAAAATTGGATGCAACCCACATCTTTACATCACTGTTTTCTTGGTCAAATTCTAAACCAGGTTTAGAGTTTTTCTTTGCACATAAGAATATAGCCCTTTTTAATGAAGTACCTAATACAAATGTGAAAGAGAATCGATCATCTAAGAGCCACAGATTTATAGACCTGGAATGGTTTTTAAGAGATTAAGTCTAACTGCCAGTTTTACAGCTGGAGAATGTCAGCTGAGGAAAATTAAATGGCTAGTCTAAGGTCACCTGAGAAGAAGGTGGCAGAGCCCAGACATGAACCTAACTTGAAATCAGCAACACTGATTCCCAGGGCAGATGCATCTTATTTGAGGACGAGGCAGCGACTCGAGATGAAATGTGGAAGCAGCATCGATGTGGAACTTGGGTCCCCATAGGAACTTTTTTGAAGAGTTCTGAATCACCAATATTTCAGATTCAGAATTAATAGATAGGGAACTGCACGAACACAACATCTAGAATTGTAAGGATATGTTGCCAAATTAGCATGTCTCAAATGTAGCTGTCATCTTTTGAATCAATTTTAGTCTACATGGATCAGGATAGAAATAAGTGACTGATCTGTTTTGTGGATAGCCAAAATTTTATTAATAATATTACATATAAAAGGTCATAGAAAATTCTTGGTAAATTTATTGCAGACAATACTGTTTATAAATGTTTGGTATTTTTATTCTAAATAGATATCATGCCTTCAATTTCCATCCTAAACAAACAAGCTCATCAAGTGAGCCTGGGCTCAACTTCCTTTGGTAAAATTATCATGTTGGCCTCAGGGCAATCAATATAAATTGCATTTTTATTAACAGAGTGTTCCTTTGAATGTGAATGAAAAGCAACAGAAAAAGCATCTATTTTCTATCAGTTTGCTGTTTTATTAACTCCAAAACTACATTCTCACCATTTCCATTTTGAATATATTAAAACTTAATTTCAAGCACTAAGAGCGAGCATTTATTTGCATATTTTTCCCACTTCATATTAAATCCAGCCACTCATGCCAAATTAAATCCTTAGAGAATCTATGGTTTAATATCATGACTTTTTGACCCAAAGATCCAAAGTGGGATCTGAACTCAATAGGAAGATAACATTTTTAATGTCTTGAAGTTACCGCAAAGAAGTCTAAAACATAATTTTAAAATGTAAAATCACAATTTAAACGTATTGCTCTGTGACATGATTTGAGATGCTCTTCCTTTAAACTATATCAAGACAAATAAAAACAAAAATACACAAATCACATGCAGAAAAATCATCCAAACCACAGTGTGAAGGATATGTAGCTTAACATGCACAAAGTGGGTAGAGACAAGATAATTCCCCAGTTAAAAATAGCTCAAGTTAAATACACACACATATAATAAACATATAAACACAGAATCATTTTTTAGAAAAAATAAAATGTCAATGTGTATATATAAATATAAAATTAAGGAATAGAATATTCTATAAAGTAAAGGTATAAATATAACATTTTAGTTCATCCAACTTTTAATCAACCTTAAATTTCAAGCCAAGTCTTGAAATTTAGCCTGCCACTTGCCCAAACAGAAGCCCCCTAGTCATGAAGGTTGTTTGAAAATCTATTAAAGATGGGTTTTCACACCTAGTAAAACATCCCTGGCATTCAATTAAAATAGCAAAATATAGATAAGGTATTCCCTTAAAAGCTAATACAATGGACCTTTTGGTTTCTCCTCTTCCACATTCCTGAAAGAACCCCATTTTATTTCAAAGGTTTACCACATCCTCCTGGGAAGCTGATCTAAACTCCAGGGGTGGGTCTAGTCAGTCAAGGGTTAACCCATGGTTCCTATCAGTAATAGAGGCAAGAGCGGCCCATGACCCAACTGGGTCTTGAATCTGATTCCAGGAGGGCTCTGTGCAGGTTGCTGGGGAAGTTCTCTTTCTTCTGGGACACTTTCAGGAGCTCTCCCTTTTCTCCCATCCATGTGGATGACAGCACAGATGACAGCAGGGCTTCATCTCTTAACCATAGGGGGACCAGCCTTCAGTGAAGCCGGCACAATGGACAGGGGGTGTGGGTATGAAAAAAACTTGAGTCCTTGATGACATACTTGAGCTGCTGGTTTAACCAACTCTAAAGCATGCCCTGCCTTGGAGGTTCCTGCCTGCGAGCCAAACTTCCTTATTACACAAGAAACATAATTTTGAATTGAGTTTACTGTCATAGCCAGAAACTGATACACCTCCCTTTTCTTGGTAGTCATAGCTTTTAAACAGGTAATTAGTTCCCAATTACGGAAACAAAATGTCTGTTACAGCGGAATGGATTTACCACTTCCAAGAACAGAGCATGAGAGAGAAAATGCTATTTACAGGCACTGGAAATATCAAGGGAAGACAGCCGTCAATATTGAATGATTTTTGAAATATTATTTGACCCATGTAATGCTTGAGGTGTATATTTAACTGAGCTTAAAGGTCTTCTTTTAGTTGATTGATTTCATTCTAGACAAACATTTTTAAAAAATACAAAATAAAGACAACATGATAGCTACCTTCATAAATTACATCAGGATAATTTGGATTTGTACCTAAAAAGCAAAACAAAGCAAAGATTTGTAAGTATGCATTTGGTGTTAAAAAATTACTAACTTAATACCCACTAAAATGAGCTAAATATATATTGAAGTTTTTGTGACTGAGTAGATTGTTTGATAGGACAGGCAGATAACCTGAAATTCTTGGTTTGCTTCATGTTAATTCTGTTCCCTCCCAGTGCCACCACCTCTACCCCTCCGAGAAAGAAAACAGAAGAACAAATGGAAATCGCAGATCACTTTAGCTGAAAAAACTTCAGCAATGAACGAATCATGAACATTTCTTTTTTGCACCACTTCTGTTTTAAAGTGGGCCATTTTAATTGCAATTTTGCATTTTTGTTCCAGAGACAGATCATTTCTGTACCACTTTTGCTATTCTCTGATGGTTTGGGGTTATGTTCAAACTATGGTGAGGCAGGTCGATTTGTGTTCACAAACATATCATTAACCAGCCTGTATAATGATATTTAAAGCACAATTTTGTTCTCCCCTTAGTCTTTGGTGGGGGGGAGGGGGGGTGTCCAAGGCTAAATAAACCCTTTTGTTTGCCCTAATACGGCACAGAAAACTAAATGCTGTTTCTCTGTTGAAATTGTTTATGTATAAGAGATTATAAATAAATGTATGTCAGAAAGAAACACAAAAGTATATCCACTTAATTCTTTTGGATGACTCTGTAGTCATCAAGATAATCAGAATATTCTATTTTAGAGTATTCCCATGAGGTTTGCAAAAATATTTTTAATCTTTTTTAAAAAATCACTGTCAACAACAACTGGTGGCAAAAACATTTGCTACTTATTCTCCAATCAGAACTAACTGGTCTCTATACAAAAGCCTACTTGGAAATAAAATTAAATTTTGATATACCATTTAAGTGATTACCAAATGAATTTCCAAAGCTGCCTCCTAAGCTGTTGGTCCTCACTTACCATGTGAAGAAGTAAAACTTGCAAACCATACAGCTTACTCAGTTCTCATTTCACTTCTGAGCCCTTAGCAGAAAAATACTATTTAAAATAAAGTGAAACTTGAGCCAATTTTCTGTTTACATATTCCCGAGTGAATAATAAAGATTAGTCTAAATGAAGAACCAAATAAAAGTGGCCTTAATGTTCAAATGAGAATTTTAACACAGAGCAAGCAGAAGAATACCCCTTTTAGCAGGGAAAACTTAAGTAGATGGCTGTGCACTCCGATTCAGGGATGCTGAATCCTGAACCCATTCTTTGCACAACTCCAGGGGGCGCCATTCAGCCTACAGTCTATGTGAATGGCACTACCTGAGACTGTGCAGTGCACAACCTGTGCAGTCACATGTGATGGCCTTGCATCAATTCATGCAAAGTCATCAAATCCAGTGAATTTCAATTGCATTTTGAGTTTTATTATCCCAAATGACATTTCAAAGTAGTTTTGAGTTATAATATGTCAATATGTATTGTCAGAATTATTTGTAGCTGATGTGACACCCTGAGAAGGCCTTGAAAGCTGCCCTGCCGTTTGAGGAGTAATTGACTGAATACAGGAGCAGGAAATCCCAGTGGCAGCCCTGGTGCTGCCATTTGCAGGGTGCCTGCCCATCCTCTGAAGTCCTTTCCCTTTGCAAAGTCCCTGGACCAAATGGCGCCACTCCCTGTGAGGATTTCCTACCCCTGCTGAAGGAAATGCTCTACAACCCCAAGTGAGCAAGTCATTGTTTCAACTGCTCAGCAATCCATTACTTTAGAAGACCCCACTTTGGCCCTGTTCTCACCGAGCCCTCGACATACAGCCTGAATCTGCAAGGCTGCCTTCACACTAGAGTCCACTCATCACTTCTAGACCTTGCTGCAGTGCCCTGGACCCAGAATTCCCTCCCCACAGGCCCCACACCCACTTCCTAGGCCTGGCCAGCCTTTCCCCTACATCCATCAGCCCACAGGTGGCCATAGCACCAGTATGAGCACCCTCTGACCCCAGATCCAAGGGAGGGGTGAGGGCTGAGGCAGGGCAGGTGGGCTGGGGGGTCCACACTCACATTCATGAAGCCTCTCATTTTAGATTCAGAGTCACGGGACAGGGGCCATGGCTGGGGACCAGCTCTACCAAAACCACTACATTCCAGCCTGGAACTCCAAGAGTCTGAGAATTCGATCTCCAAACCCAGCCTCCCAGGTCATCATAAACACTTTCGTGCCAAGGTAGGAGGATAGAACCCATTTTATTTAACAATTCATAAACTTGATTTTGTAAGTATTTGGGTGTAAGTACGTGGACGTTCATTGGTACTAGGGTGACCAACCATCCGCACTGCCCGAGACAAGGGGACCCTGAGTCATTGGACTTTATGCTTTAAAACTGGGATAGTCCCAGGCAAATTCTTGCTGTTTGCCCAGCAATGAGGGCCTTTCCCAGATGCACTTCTAGTGTAAACCGGGACGAGTCGGTCACCCTGATTCGTTCTCATGCCCTCAGGGACGCTGCACGGGTGAGAGGGGCGCCTGCAGTCACCACTCGCTTATACACACACAATTCCATGAGAAAGTAAAAAGCCTGAGGATTCAGAGCCAGACTCATGTAAGCGGCACACTGAAAGGGCCTCAGTGAAGGTGACAGGCGTCCAGGCTCAATCAGCTTCACGGCAGACAGGGAACACCCAAACACATTACTCACGCAGAGCCCCCAGAAAGATCTGAGAACATTGAATCAATGCAGTGTAGCAAATGCCAGGTATAGAAAAATGGGATTTAGGGTGGCATGAAAAGTAAGTAGGTTAGCCCATCCTCTGAATAAAGGTCATTTTCCAGACTTATGATTCATATCAGAGCATGCCTTTCCCACCACGTTCACCAGCAGAAGCTTTAGATCACATCACTCTATTTTCCTAACTTCATTTTCCCAGATGTAGGAGAAGCATTGTCACTTTTCTTTTGTTGTCAAGAATAGCCAAATTTAGTGCAAGAACATGAATCTCGCAGAAAGACACTGTGGGAGGAACAATAATGGGTTTTTCCTGTCTAGTATATTGAACTATATGTCTGATGAGGGCCCACTCGCCACAAGAAAGAAATGCCTGTCTGTGCACAGAGGTTTAGGACGTCTGGCACATGGGAGGGTGCACAACCTAGAGGCTATGAAAATCAAGGGTCACATCACTCCAGCTGACCCCAGATCATTAAGCACAGTGTTTTGCTTCTAGCAACTTCTCAGTCAAGCCAACCTCCCATGATGTCTACATTTTAGTAGTGAGGTGGTTGTTAACATCATTTTAAATGCAGGCACAGAAAACAAAATCACCACTGGCTTTTTAGACTTCTGGCAAAGGTCAGATTCTGAAAATATCCTACCATTTTTGTCTGATTTCTAACTGGTTCCTTTGACTTAGAGTAAATGCATTCTCTATGGATCGTCATACGCTGAAGGGAGGAACCTCTGTTGGAGATATTCACACTAAACGTGAAGGAGGAAAGAGAAACACTGGCTGTGAGAGAAAAAAGCCAACAAAGAGAGAAGGAAGGAAAGACCGTGACCAGCGTGGACTCGTGCGGTGCGCTGCAGTGCGGTCTGGGCGGGGTGATGCTTCCCTGGACCTTGTCCTGGTAGCTCTCATTCAGTGAGAAGCCTCAGGTGCAGGAGGTGGTGTCAATCCCTAAAGCTTCAGTCGGGCATCTCCAGAAGAAAACACAGGAATCCGAGGACTCCACTAACCGCACGGGCATTCCAAACAAGCAGCAGCCTGGTTTCTCCCGGCACAGCTCCCTCAGCGCAGAAACTGCAACTCCTCCCCAGCCAGAAGAAGACACGCTGAGTGCAAATGTCTGCTTGTCTGATCGTCAAGTTCTGGTTTCTGAAAGGTTTGTTGAGCATCTCCAGGTGCTCCCTCCCATGTGCTTTGTTCTCGACCTAAGGCGTGTTGTCAGGAACCAGGGAAAGAGTACTAACAGGTCCGAGCACAGCCTGAGCTTCCCACTGAAAGGAGCAAGGAGACTGTTTCAGAGCCCTATGTGCACTCCTGACCAAGTTCCGTAGATGTGTGACGCCTGCACCTCCGAGAGACAGACCCTAAGAGCATTTAGGCTTCCAAACGTGGATGATAAAAATCACTTTTTTCCCTCCACCAATATCAACCAAAGCACTTCCCCATCCTCTGAATTCCATGCTAAATGACTCAAAGTCAGCACCTTTTGACTTCCATCTTCCCATCTCAGTTACAGCTCGTGAGTAAATCTTACGACTTTAGGCAAATCTTCATGAACAAATCTATATGCCTTTTTAACTGTAAGAATCTATAGCTAAAGGATATAAACACTTGTAGGATCAAAAGAGATGTGGGAAGATAGGTCAGCTGACAGTAGGATTCGCTTTCCATTCTGCTGCAAAGATAAAGATAACGATAAGGCAGGGAAAACATCTGTTTCCTTCCTGTAAGCTTTTAGTGTCTCTCTAATGCCCTAAGGAAAAAAAAAAGAAAGATTTTCCTTTCAATTCTATTTGCGGACTCCATTTAGTGTGATCTTGAAAAATATTTCAAAGAATTCCATATGATAAAGCAATAGCAAAAGATGTGTTCTTTTCAAATGAATTGCCCTTGCTTTGTTAACAGTGTTTTCTAGCTCATGGCAGTCTGCCTTTTGATTTCCAGATCCTTCTCCTCTGCCCTTTCTGAATGGTAGGCTGAACTCAGGGCCCGAACACATTGGGGGTTCCGATGTCTGGGTTCCATTTCTGGCTGGACCGCTAAGGTGCTGTGCAGCACTGGGGGCCTCTTCACTCCCTCTGTAACAAAGGAGTCTTCCGGACTGCAGGAGAGGATAATAGCATTGGCTTTGGCAACTCCTTGGGAGCTTCAGGAAGCATAATTAATTAACATTAGTACTCTTGAGGAGTAAAAAGCTATTTAAGTATAAATCTTAATTATCATGATTATTATGAGTCTATGGCCAAACCATACTCTTCTGGGTTATTTAAGGCAGAAAAGCAGGTAGAACTTTCTTTCCTTTCACTCCCAA